AAAACTCTCTGAAAAGATCTCGTTTGTTTTCTTTCCCATCATCGGGAACTCTAGTAAAACGTGAGCTCCACGCGGGCGAGGCCCACGTCCGACTCACCCAGCGCCACGTCCCCAGAACTTGGCCCTAGAAGGCCTGCAAGGCCCGAATGCGCATTGGCTGGGCCGAGGCTCCCGTCCTCCCGAGGCTACACAGACGCTCGCCTCTGCTGAGGGCAACGCGGACCTTGCCCGACTGGGGCGGATGGCCCAGCTCGATCCCCCAGCACTGCCGGACGAGAACTGGCGTCAGCACCCACCTTTGCCAGGAATGCGTTTGCAGAACTCTCCAGAATCGCGGCAACAATGCGCAAATGAGACATGCACCCCACCTCTACGGTCACACGGCCGCCACGCGTGAATCCTGCCGCCGGAAAGACTCGGGACGGTTTTGGGGGAGCAAGAAAAGGCGAGACCTCGGAGAAACCCTGACGGCCAAGGCAACCTTCCCTGGGCCGCGAACGCGGCTGCTCTGTCCCTCCGGCCCCGACCGCCGCCCACGCGGCGGCTTCCGAGAAATCGGAGCCGCTCGGAGCACCAGGAAAGAACAACCCGAGACACAAACTGCTGTCTCCTCGGAGAAGTGGCCTCGGGAGGAAAGAACGGAACCAGACAGATTATGCACCAGTAAGAATGTGGCAACTAGGCACAGGTCAAGGTCAAGGTCAAAGGGCACAAAGAAGGGACAGTCACGGCCGTGCCACAGCGCCCTGCGGGCCCGAGGGAAGGCGGGTGGAGAGACAGCCGGTCGGTCCACTGTGGCCATTGCGTCCTCCTTTCGTTCCCCGTGAGTGCCTCGTCCCGCCTGGCTCTGGGGACACAGGTGACGAGCCAGCGTGGCTCCTGTCCCCGGGGGGGTTTGCACACCTCACGAGGAGAGGACACGGTTTGCTGGATGAGCCAGCCAGAATGGGAACGGTTTGTCACCCGGAGGCCGTTCCGCAGCGGCTGAGAGCGGAGGCTGGAGAGATCGAGGCTAAACCCTCCGCACTGAACCCGGCACGAGGGGGAGCCGAGGAAGAGGAGGACAGAGACAGGGAGGGGCGGCAGGGGCGCGAACACAGCGAGCGGGTGCAGGACGGAGGCCGGCGGAGACCGTCATCGACAGAAGTTTAACGTTCCATCGAAGCACCTGTGTTTCCGCAACGTAAATCCCACAGTAAGGGTCACGTCAAACAGGAAACGCACGCGGGGCGGCCTCCTTCCTGGCGCGGTCGCTGCCGGCCGCAGCCGGACACCAGAGAGCCCCCGAGAGACGGGCTTTCCCGCTGCTCCGGCCCCACCCCGACTCCAAGCCAGCGCCCGACGCGACCCACCGACGGAGAAGGAACCTTCTCTCATCCTCGGCACGAGCCTCTGCTCCGACACGCACGCTCGGAGAAGCCACCGCGGCCACCTGCCGGCCCGCGGCGCAGCCGGAGCCACCAATCCCGACGCCAGAGTCGGCCCCCTTCCCCCGGAGCACGGGCCCCCCTTGGCGAGACGAGCTCCCCGAGCTCCACGCCGGGAAGTAAAAGCACGGGAAGGTCACGCGGCTTCCGGGGCGAGGGCACCTCCGCCCCGGGGGCCGGGGGAGGCGGGGAGAACACGCCGAGACTCGGGCCGCGAGCGCCTCCACCTGCCTTCTCCGCGATCTGCTGGTCCCTGGACAGGCTGGTGATCATCTTGGCGTCCTCGTCAGTGAGCTCCCCGACGGCGACCTTGTCGTCCTTCTTGGCCACGTAGTTGGCCAGGATGACGGTGGCGAAGACGGGGAAGCCGTTGGAGGTGTTGAGGGAGCCGTCGTAGTTGTTGTGATAGATGCCGGTCAGCTCCTGGGGGCGGGGGGACGCCGGGCGGTCAGGGCCGGACCCGGGGGGCCGCCGCGGTGCCCCCCTCCAAGCTCTCCGCGCCGCGACTCGGCGGGACCACGGGAAAACCGCGTCCAGACCCGGCGTCCCGAGGCGCCGACCCCGCAGCAGGAGGAGGAAAAGCCCCCTGCCCCGGAGACGGACGCGCAGACCTCAGCCTGAGCACCCTTGACCGTGACCCCTGGCCCGGCCGCACTGCTCAGTCCCGCGCCCGCCCACTTACGATCTCGTCCCCCGGCTTGCAGCTGTCCACCAGGTCGGCGAGCAGGATGGCGTCCTTGGAGCGGGGCAGCCGGCCGGGCGCCACCTTGCCCGGGCTCTCCTGAATCCGGATGCGCTGGTAGTTCTGATAGATGGTCTGCGGGGGACACACGGGTCGCGGGGCCCTGTGACTCCTGGGGGCGCTGACCGCGTCGCCCGTCCTCGATCACGGCCCCCGTGGCGGGAGAACGGAAAGTATCGCTTTCCCGTCTCCCGACCGGGAAACGGAGAGCCCGGGACAAAACAGGGCGAGCCCACGGCAACGCTCTGGGGGCCTCCGACCGCTAGACTCAAGCACCGCCCTGCGCCGTACGGCGTGTGGATGCGGGAACCAGGCCGCCTGCGTCCAAATCCCGTCTCTGTGCCTAAGCTGTGCGATCTCAGGCAAGCGACTTTCCCACTCTGTGCCTTCTCTGCAGGTGGGGACGCCCACAGCGTAAATTGTAACCTCGCAATGAGGACTAAACAAGTCACTCCTGTAAGACCCCCAAAGCAATGGCTGACAAATGGCACGTTCCGGAAGTGTCAGCTCCTACTGTCACGCAGCACGTGCTAGCTCGTGCCACGCAACTCCGTGCCTATTATCACCCTTGTTGTGTAGACGAAACACGGCGTGGCGGTTAAAAGCCCACACGCTGGGATGGGCACCGTGCTGGGATCCCAGCACTCTGGGAGGCCGAGGCGGGAGGATCACTGGAGCTCAGGAGTTCAAGACCAGCCTGAGCAAGAGCGAGACTCCGTCTCTACTAAAAATAGAAAGAAATTAGCTGGACAAGTAAAAATATATAGAAGAAATTAGCCCGCTATGGTGGCGCATGTCTGTAGTCCCAGCTACTCGGGAGGCTGAGGCAGGACGATGGCTTGAGGCCAGGAGTTCGAGACCAGCCTGGGCAGCATAGCAAGATCCCATCTCTAAATAAAACACAAAAAATCAGCCGGGCTCGCTATTGTGAGCCTGTAGTCCCAGCTACTCGGGAGGCTGAGGCAGGACGATGGCTTGAGGCCAGGAGTTCGAGACCAGCCTGGGCAGCATAGCAAGATCCCATCTCTAAATAAAACACAAAAAATCAGCCGGGCTCGCTATTGTGAGCCTGTAGTCTCAGCTACACGGGAGGCTGAAGCAGGAGGATCGCTTGAGCCCAGGAGTTGGAGGTTGCCGTGAGCGAGGCGGACGCCACGGCACTCTAGCCCGGGCAACACAGTGAGACCCTGTCTCAAAAAAAAAAAAGCCCACACGCTCGATCAAAACTCTCGACTCTGATCCTCGGGGCCACTTCCCGGCTGGGTGGTCTCAGCCAATCACTTCCCCGAACACCTGTTTCTTCATTAGCAAAACGGGGTCGACAACGGTAGCCGCCTTACGGGGCGTGAGGAAGACCAGATAACGCGGCATCTTGCAACCGACGAACAGTCCGTAAGCGCCAGCGTGATTATTAACCCTCCATCAGACACCGTCTCAGGTTCTCTACGAGCAGAGCCTGAAACCGTCCTCCCGCGAGAATTCAGTGGCGCTGGGGCCCCGTGCAAGACCCGGGAAATTCAGACCGAACGAGAGAAGACTCGCCTGATGCCAGGCGGGCTCGGACTTTGACGGCCACCAGTCCCTCGGCTGCCACGGGTGGCGCTGGCTCCCAGGCCTTTTCTGGCAAGGGGGCTGCAGCTGGGACAGTTCCCGGAATCGCAGGGTGGTGAGGGGACAGCCACCAACGCCCCCAGCAGCAAGGCAGTCACGGGGCCTGGGCGTCCCCCCACGGGGACCTCAACGACCCCAGTTTACAGACGAAGACACTCGAGCAAAAGGCACACGTGCCGTGGCCTCCGGAGTGTGGTGTGGCAGCCGTATCGTAAGTGGGGGACCGACGCAGGGGCCCCACACCGCGGGCCCCCAGGAGCCAGGCAGGCAGCAGGCACAAGCAGGAAGGAAGTCCGGACGGGCCTGCAGACGCCCCACTGAGTGCCGCGGGGACTGGAGGGCTTCGTCCCCGAGGAGCGGCCAGGCGAGACGCAGGCCCAGGCTGCCGGCTCTTCCCGGGTTTCCAGAGAAGCCATAAATTCGGACGCTTGAAACAAAATCGCCTGACTTTTTAAACAGCGGCTCAAATTCTTGCAAACGCCACGTGCGCCAAACCAAGCCTGCCGGCCCGACAGACGCGGCCCAGGGTGTGGCTGACACACAAGCGCACCCTGGGGCCGCCGAAACGAGGAGGACGGCGGGCGGCCGGGCTGCGGCCCCCTCTCACCTGCTCCATGTTGACCTCGAAGGGCCCGGCCGACTGGCACTCCGGGCAGGAGCCGGGCTTCACCTCCTGGTTCTGGGACTGGCAGAAGGGCCCCAGCACGCAGCTGCACTTGCTGCAGTTGTACTTGACCACGCTGAGCTGCGGCAGGACGCCCGTGCAGCTGGTGACCACCCCGCCCGTGCGGATGAGCTGGTTCAGGTGCAGCTGCCTGCGGAGGCAGACGTGGGCGTGGCGGGGGTCTGGGGGCCGGGCCGGGGGCTCCTTCCGCTGCGCCCCGCCCCGCCCACGCCGCCGCCCGCCGCCCTCCCCAGCCCCCGGCCCACCTGAGCGAGCGCAGCTCCTCCACGAGCGGCAGGTGGGAGATGCGCACGTGGATGCGGGTGGCGATGCGGCCGTACTTGGGGTACATGGCCAGCACCACCTCCAGCGCGGCCTCGTCGAAGATGCCCAGCAGCTCTGCAGGGGCCTCGGGCAGGAAGTAGGCCAGCACGTGCTCCCGGGCCGCCAGGTCCTCGTAGTTCACCACCAGGCTCTCGCGGTTCTCTAGCGGGGGAGCAGGAAGGCACAGGACGCTGAGCGCGGGGCCCCGGCGGGGACGGGGGCGGCGATTTCCGCCCGGCGGCGATGCCTGCCGTGAGGACGGACGTCCACCCAGAAATCCCGGCCTCCGGTCCTGAGTCTACCGTGCGTCAGCGGAGGCTGAGATAAGGGACATGTCCTGAGCCTCAACTCCCCGCTCTGTAAAGTGGGCGCGTTGCAGTGTGCAAGGCGGCTGGGGATTAAATGAAAGGCCAAGAGTCCCCGCAGGGCCACGGACTCCAGACACCTACCAGGGCCCCGAAGGAAACCGGGAATAAACTGTCAAATACAGACGGGAGTGGAGGGGACACCAAGGACAGGATCTGCAGGCCCTTTTTTTTTTTTTTTTTGAGACAGAGTCTCGTTCTGTCACCCGGGCTGGAGTGCCGTGGCATCAGCCTCGCTCACAGCAGCCTCCAACTCCTGGGCTCAAGCGATCCTCCTACCTCAGCCTCCCGAGTAGCTGGGACTGCAGGCATGTGCCACTGTGGCCAGCTAATTTTTTCTATATGCTTTTAGTTGTCCAGCTAATTTCTTTCTATTTTTGGTAGAGACGGGGTCTCCCTGTTGCTCAGGCTGGTCTCGAACTCCTGACCTTGAGCAATCCTCCCACCTCGGCCTCCTGGGTAGCTGGGACTACAGGCATGCGCCACCATGCCCAGCTGTTTTTTTTTTAAGAGATGGGGTCTCACTATGTTGTCCAGGCTGGTCTCAAACTCCTGGCCTCAAGCAATCCTCCCACCTCCACTTCCCAAAGCACTGGAACTACAGGCATGCGCCACCATGCCTGGCTAGTATTTTCTATGTATTTTTAGTTGACCGGCTAATTTGTTTCTATTTTTAGTAGAGACGGGGTCTTGCTCTTGCTCAGGCTGGTCTCGAACTCCTAGCCTCGAGCAATCCTCCCGCCTCAGCCTCCTATATGCTGGGATCACAGGCGTGAGCCACCGCGCCCGGCCTCAGATGCTGAATTTTATGCTAAGTGTGTTTTACTACAATTAAGAAGGGACGGGGAGCAGGGTCTGCAGGCAGGTTCCAAGCACTCAACGAGACACACGGGTTCGAGGAAGCACAGAAGCTTCCAGCCAGAAAGGCCTCAGAGAGCTGAGCCCAACTCCCCGAGAGCCAGAGTTCTCCCTGCACCGTCTCCATCCCTGCCACGCCGCCTGCAAACACTCTGCCGCTGAGGGGGGGACTTCTATCCGCAGCCTAACAGGCCCCTCTGGAAGGGCGACCCGCTGTCTCCACCCTCTGAGCTACTCCAACACCAGCAAATAAATACTCATTTTCCGCACAAGCATCCTTCAGGTATATGGAGGGAAATAGTAGTTCAGTGAAGCATCCACGGAAAGCAAAGCATTACGCTTTCCCCCACGGTGCTGGGACCTACAGGTCGCTACTGCATCGGAAACATGAGCAAACTGACATCTGCGGGGCAACATGGCTCTGTCCAGGGTCGCCCAGCAGAGCTGGGCATCAAAACACAGTCGAACCGTGGACTGCAGGCTCTTTCCCCGATACCACGCTGCCTCCGCTCAAGACAGTCTTCTTGGCCAGGCGCGGTGGCTCAGGCCTGTAATCCCAGCACTCTGGGAGGCCGAGGTGGGAGGATCGTTTGAGCACAGGAGTTCGAGACCAGCCTGAGCAAGAGCGAGACCCCATCTCTACCAAAAATAGAAAAAGATTAATTGGACAGCTAAAAATATATAGAAAAAAATCAGCCAGGCATGGTGGCGCATGCCTGTAGTCCCAGCTACCCAGGAGGCTGAGGCAGGAGGATCGCTTGAGCCCAGGAGT